GGCGGGGCGGGCACGACATAGGGAATTCTCTGGCAGACAAAGCGAGGGGCGGACAGAGCGTGGTGTGGCGGTGCGGGGCGCGGGCAGTCGCGCGACCACCCTCTCTCCTCTCTCTCTCCCCCGCCCGCGCGACCCCCCCGTGGGAGAGAGCAGCCAGCCAGAGGCTGACAGACGGACACAGCGCTGGCCGGCAGCACAATGCGCGATGCAGTCCCGCTTTGAGAATAGTCACGGTTTATTGGGCAATCCCCCCCGCGGTCCTCCAACCCCGAGGGGAGGATGAAAGGGGGGCACGGACGGAGATATATATAAAATTTCAGGCCCCCCCGCGCGGAGCTCGCGGCGCTCTGCTGCTTTTGTCCGTTTGGGTCCTCCTCCTGCGTGTGTAGGAAATGGGAAGGGTAAGGAACGTGGAGGGGGCCAGGAGGGAGGAAGGGGTAAGTGGGCAAAGGGGGGCGGGGGAGGGTGAGAGGGGAGGAACGACTCGAAGGACCGGACCAGACCGGCGGCCAAGTTTACCCCCGCCGAGGCGATTACAGCTCGACGTCGCGACGAGTCACCAGAGAGTGGCCGGCCAAACTTAAAAGTCGACCCGCCCCGCCCCGCCCCGCATGCACGCCCGCCGCGCTAACGGCGTCTGGAGGAGGAGGAGGATCGCCACACCCATACCCACCACGGCATGGCCAAAGTTGCCGCACGCCCGCCGCGGCGGTTTGCGTTTTCGCTTGCTGGGAGCGACTATCACGATTTTTTATTATTTTTTTTGCTCGCGGAAAACGGCGGAAATCTCGGGGCGCGCGGCAGCCAGTGAAAAGCGGCAACGAGACAGACAGCGGCGGTACAATGGTATAACGCGCGAAGGGGGGAAAGGAATCCCCTCAGCGCCCAGCGAATAAAAGCGCAGCGGCTGCTCTGGGCTGGCTGGGGGCGGCGGCGGGGGCGGCGCCGAGAGAGCGGCTCCACAGTCATGCAAAGCGCAACGCAAAGGTTATTGAGAGGAGACTCGATCGAAAGCGAAATGAAACGACATCGATAAAAGCGGGAGCTGGAAGTACAGCAACCGCATTACAACATGCATGAGCCCCCGTATGAGCCCGGCGTGTGTTGTGGTTGGCTCCTCCGCCACGGTTTGAGCAAGACGAGGGTTAGATAGGTCCGGCTAAGCCGGGGACAAGGTGGCCGGGGACCGAAGTATTAGGTAATACACGTGTGTAATATGAGTATTACAAGTACGAAAGAGTATTACACAGAAATACAAAGTAACGTGGAATACACGAGTAATTTTTAAGTACCTAATAGCACTGGCTACTGGCTATAACACCCATCAAACACCCGTCAACCGATAACCCGCGAGTATCGCATACGTGCGCTTCATTCAAATAGCCATATGATGACCAACCTCCCTTTCGGCTGGAGTTTACTTCTGCTACACAATCTTCGTCCTACATTTTCAGGGTATAATTTCTGTCAAAGAAGAAACTTCTCCTCGTTTCAGGGCATCGAACGAAAAATTGCCACAATCAGCCAAGGCCAAGCCAACCATAACAAACTTAACCTCAAATACAAGGTTATGTTATGCAAGCTCAGTCAGATTGCTGAGGAGACGGATTTGACGCAAACAGGGAACACAAAACAAAAATCGAAACCACGAAACAAACAACGGACTTACTCGACAGAAGCGATGTTACACAGGCACTGGCACGCACACGCTAGTAAAAGATGATCTACCAACCAAACCGACGAACCGAACCGACGCGACCGACGCACAAATCAACTGGTGCGAGTGCGAGTCGTGGCATTCCCTCCCCAGCTCGTCGGCTCGCATTCGGGTTTGCGTCGCGAGTTTTCATTCGGTAGAATTCGGTAGCCACCTTCGTTCGCGCGGGCATTCACTCACATTTCAAGATTTTTGTTACAGTAATTCGCGACCTATTTTCCCTATAGCGCAAGGGCAGGCCGCGATGAGTAAACAATTATTATTCTTTTGTTATTGATTTTAAATACAGTGTTACTTCTGTTTTTTTCCATCACAACGAGGGAGCTTAGGGGGATTCTTTCAAACGGACACACAATAATCAGATAGTAGTGTTTAATATTTGTATTTTGAGAATTTTTCGAGTTTGAATGTACTGGGTCGGTGCACATAGTCACGTCCGTCCCGGGGGTGCGGTGCGCGTTGAGACAGCCAGCCGGTGGCTGTCGGGCCTTGCAGCACCGCGGCCTCTGCTAGAGCAGGGCGGGGCGCAGGGCGCAGGGGCCGCAGGGCCCGGCCCCGGACACGGACGGAGGCAGGCCGCTGCCCGGGCCAGGCCGCTCCGCTGTGCCTTTGGCCCTGCGCATTTCATTCATATGCAGATGTGCCCGGCGAGGCCGCCGCGGCAGCCGCCGCCAGAGCCGCGGATGAAAGCTTGGGGAGGGGTAGGGGGTGCAATGCGGGGAGAGAGAGCGAGAGGAGAGAGAGGGTGGTGCAAAAGCCGTGTGAGCGTGCGCGTGTGAGTGAGCGAGAGGGATAGCTGCGCCTGATTGATAAACCTCCCATCAGATTTTATTTGCGGTTCGCTCAGGCTCGGCGGCGCGAGAGCGGAGCCGCCCCCGCACAAGTACACACACAGCAGCAGCGGCGGCCTCGGCCCTTACGGGGAGGGGAGGGGGGAGCCTCCCGGCACACCGCGATATCCGCAGGAGACAAGAGAGCAAACAAAAAAGGGCGAGAGGGTTAGAAAATAAAATAAAAATAAGGCGGTCAGAGTTAAGTGGGGGGGGGGGGGGGAGTGAAATAAGCAGTAAAAGCTTCGGTGGGTGTGCGGGGGGTTGGATGCTAGCGGGAGACCGGATATAGAGGAAGACAGCGGGGAGAGTGGAGAGGGAGGAAGAGTGAGGGAGACAGAGGATCTGTTGCAAACTTTTCCACTCGGCGAGTTTCCGACGGCTGTCACGCCGTTAGCAGCAGTGGGTCCTAACCCTGTGCGTCCAACCGCCGCGCCCCGCCCTCGAGGCTGGCGAGCGGTGGCCGGGCAAGAGGGGACCAGGGTGACCGTGGACAGTCCCTGGACAGAGGCGGGCCGTGCGTCAGGCCGGGCGATATCTCTGATCGGGGATAACGAAGGTGGGATACAAACAGGGAGACGCCCCCGGCGCAGCGCCCGACCAGGCCACGCCATGAATCACTGGGAGGGACAGGCCGCCCCGCCCCACCCCGCGCCCTCCCCCTGAGCCGTCAATCTGAATAGCAATCCGATCACGATTTCGGCCAACCCTATCTTTATATGCGGTCCGGAGTGCCTGGGCCTCCCTTCCTGACCCTCTGTGCGTCTGTCTGTTCCAGGAGGAGGTCGTGCTCCGGTCCCGGGGCTCGGCGCACCTGCCGCCCAACGCGCGGGAGGTGACGGTGCAGGGCTGCGCGCGGGTGCGCGTGCCGCAGGCGGCCTTCGCGGACCTGCCCGAGCTGCGGCGCGTCACCATCGCGGGCGTCGGCCAGCTGCGCGTCGAGTCGTACGGCTTCAGCTGGAACGAGAGCACGGCGTCGGTGCTGCCGAGCGAGGTGCTGCCCGTGGGGCCGGCCGGCGGCGTGCACGTCAACATCACCAACACCACCGTCCCGGAGCTGCCCAGCTTCGCGTTCCTCGGCCGGCTCGAGTCGGTGGCGCTCGTCGGCGTGCGCGTGGGCGCCGTGCGCGCCTTCGCCTTCGCCAGCCTGCGCTCGCTGCAGCGGCTCTCGTTTGAGCGCTGCGACCTGGACCAGATCGAGTCGCAGGCCTTCAAGAAGTTCTCCGTGGACCAGCTGGTGCTGCGCGGCGGGCGGGTGCGCAGCGCGTTGCCCAGCCGAGCCTTCCAGGTGAGTGCGGAAAGAGGGACTGAGTGACGAAAGGTTCGAAAGAAATGACAACAAAACGCTGTGTGGGTTTTGAGAAAATGAAGTAAAACACATTTGGATGACGTGTCCTCTTCTCCCGCAGGATCTTGACGTGCGAAGCGAGCTGACGGTGGACGGCGTGCAGTTCGACGCGGTGCACAGCGCCGCCTTCAACGTCCGCGGGCCGACGGGGCCGCGGCGGGTCACCATCACGCAGAACGTCATCAGCTTGCTGAGGGGGGAGGCCTTCTCCGTCGTGGCGCACGGCCCGGTGATCGTCAACAACAACCGGCTCGGGCGCGTGGAGACGGGCGCGCTGCTCGCCATCACCGTGGACTGGTTCACGGCGGTCAACAGCGGACCGCAGGTAACTAGAACTTCCAACGTCGAATTAGTCTGTTCACCACCACCCCTTCACCTTTACCGAAACCTTCACCTCGGAGCGGGCGCGATGCAAAGCAAAGCAATGACCAATGAGTTGTGTGTCGTGTCGTTACAGGTGCTGCGCTTCGAGAACAACACGATATCGGCGTTCGAGGACGGCGCCGTCATGTTCAACACGACCGGGATGGACGTGCGCGTGTCGCGCGTGCTGCTCGACATGGCGTGCGACTGCGCCGTGCTGGACTCGTGGGGCCGCGACCTCCTCAACGTGCCGCGGTACCCGGCACCGCCGCTGCTGCCCGCCGTCGCGCCCGACACGCTGTTCTGCCGGGTGGACCGGCTGGCGCGGGTGCGGGGCGCGACGCCGGGCGCGTACGCCACCGTGGCCGACTACAAGACCAACAGCTGCGGCTTCTTCTCCTTCAACCTGGACGTGCTCATCATCGTAGCCCTGGCGCTCGGCGTGGCCTTCCTGGCCGTGCTCGTGCTCGCCGTCATCTGCTGCCGGCGCCGGCGCCGGCGGAGGCGCCGCTGGGCGGCCAAGGGCGCCGGCAGCAACGGCACCAACGGCAGCCGCACGCCCACCGTCATCCGGGACATGGACATCTCGGACGACAAGGAGGTGCAGGAGGCGCTGCGGCGCAAGGGCAGCCGGCCGGGGATGCAGTTCAAGCGCGTCATCCAGCCCGAGGAGGAGCACCGCATGCTCAAGGGGCCCGGGCCCGGGCCCTTCACGCTCGTCGTCCCCGACGGCAGGGTGTACCGCGAGACGGAGCTCCACGTCATCGTGGAGCGGGCCGAGCCGCTGCGGGAGCTGCGCGAGCGAGAGCCCATCCAGGAGCCCGGCGGATGACCCCGCGCCGCCCCCGGTCCCGTCCACGCCCCTGGCAACGGCCTCGTACTGGGCCTCAACGGGGTGGGCATCGGGTCGCTGGGGCGGACGGGGGTCAGGGGCCTCGGGGGCCTCGGGCTCACGGACTACACGGGCAACGGCACGCTCGGGGGGCGGGGGCCTCGCGGAGGTCACGGGGCCGGGCACGGGGGCGGCGTCAACGGCGGGATGATCGGCGGCGACCGCTACCGGACCATCGTCGGGTACGGGAGAGAGCCGTGATCCTGATCCGTAGCTGTCGCACGTCCCACACCCCTATCGCCGACGAGTATTCGTTCCTTCACTGTGATGCCCACAAGCCTAGTGATGAGAGCCAAATAACACTAGCACATCATTCCAAAGTATTAAATAATTTTTCTAGGTTTTAAGATAATGATAATGAAAAGGCCTGTGAACTCAGCCGACTTGTGATGCAAATAAGAAATGACTGTCCCTAGAGCGTGACAACAGATGCCTTATTATCAAAAACTTGTAAGTCAATTCATGGCTTGAATGACGCTTTCGGGTTGTAAAATAAATTGAAGTTATTTTTTAAAATCTAAATAAACCTAACTTGGCACAAATAATTGCTACCTTCATTCCAAAATTTAAATAAACATTTTTTTATGAGAGAAACAAGAATACAGTATGATTGGACTAAGCTTTGTAAAATAATTGTAAATTGTACTAGAAGCTTTTGATAATAATGTGTACATAGTACAGGGAATTTTTTTACTTCAAATGATTTATCTAGAGAGATTTTAAAGAATTTGTTGAGGCCAAATGATGATTCAGTATTTTGCACTCAAATATTCAGTCGGAAAGTGTGCCATATGAAAATTAAAAATTTAATTCCTCCTGAATTCACAAAGCTTTAAAAATGTAGTCATTTGTGATTCAAGTCAGAGGAGGAATATGACTGTTACAAGCAAAATAATATGTAAGATCTTTTAAGTCTTTGAATAAGAATTCAATAGAATAAGAATTGATCATAAGTGCCCACTTCTAGTGTGCTGTGATAGTTTGACTAGACAAAGTTAGATGCATATCACATATCCATAGCCAAAGGTTGTGAGTTGGGGCTACAAATAAAAATTGAAAACAGCAATCAAAATTATTTTGACTCAAACTGGAATCAAGAGCTTTCATTCTTCAGCTAGCACAGATTTTCCAAAGCTTTTGAATTGACTGTCCTTAGCATACAAGGATTTAATCTGAGCTAATACAAATATTCCACATAGCAACATTCCTTACCATTTTTACATGTAAGTACTTCTTTTTCCTCTGAACTATTTGAAAAAGAAATAAATAATCCCTATGGAACTTGTATGTTTAAATTTTATAAAGAGTCACTTGTCCTATCTTTCATAAATCTAAGTCTAAGAGTGAATGCATATTTATACCACCATTTTAAGGCCATATTAGTATAAGAAACCAACTAAAATAAGACTTTCAGGGTTAAATGTAAAATTGTCATCACTATGGCATATAAAAAAGGCTAAAGATTATGTTTTTCTTCTTCAATTAATTTAAATACTGTATTTGACTTTCTTTTCAATCAATCTAATGTTTTGCACCATCCCATTTTTTTTATTTTTTATTTTTTTGAAGGAACAGACCAAAGTAATTTGAGGCCATACCTAAATTCCGCATGTCTACTATGGCAAGATCAGTATTAATTCATGTATGTTTACCACGTACCATTGTACAATACATGCGTATTATTCTGTAGACCTTAAACATTCTGTTAAGTTTGTACATTTTATAAAGAACTGAACACAATAAAGACATGCCATGAATCAGTTTGGGAATGTTATTTACTGGGCTCTCATCAATGCAACTTCGAATTAAGAAAAAGCTATGAAAGAATTTTACCACTTCCTCTCCTTTTTCCTCAATCCCATTTCCGCAGTACGCAAAGCAATGCAAATTTGCATGTGGCTATATCGAAAGAAGAGAAGTTTAACCACTTTCCACACCCAATCCGAATCTACATAGCCGAGTATGTACAACACAACAAAGCATTTGTGATGGTCACTGAAAGTTGAGGGAAAGAGAAGGACAAGGCAAGCACCATAAATTGTTGTACCAAGAAAGAGAGAAGTTCCAAAAGCCCGAAAATCAGGTATGGTCTGTAGTGCTTACGGTTGTTGCAAAGATGAAGACACGAGCTCTCATGACAGGAATGCAGAGTTGATGAGCCTTACCTGAATGGAAGAACACCGTCGAGAGCCTGGTTGATTGTAGGTGGGCTGGCGAGGGCAAAACCTTTGCCCAGCAGAGTAGAATGAGCTGCATACACCTGATGAGCCTGCTCTTCGACCAGTTCAAGGTCATCATCCATCTCATCTAAAAGAAAAGAATGTAACAGAACTTAAATTAATTTTTCAGTTTTGGTGAAAATACTGGAACTACATTAGATTGGTAAAAATGCAGTACCAGGGAGAGCTGGAAGTGAAAGGTCTTTCTTCATAAGGGATGCAGCGCACATGCCTGCTATATACGCAAGTTCTGCCTCAAGGTGGCGTAAGCCGTTGTTGAGGGATGGAGGCCATTCATAGCCAATCACAAGACAACGGAAGCCATAAAAGCAAGCCTTATCATCCTTGATGTAATCAGAGGCTGTTTCCAAAGAAAAGATGACCTCATTGCCTGGGAGGACAATAGCTGCTTGGGGCCAATTTCCAGGGCTTCCACTAAATCTATGGAACACTGGCCAATGAGGAAAGAACATAAGATTTGGATCTTGGTCATAAGGGGACTTTGGTGCTTCTGGAGTGGCTGGTTCATATTCAGCTGCTTGGCCTCCTTCAGCTTCTGTCGGTGCTCTTTCAAAGTCCCGGACATTGCTCCGATCACGTTCTTTGCGCTTAGGCATGCGAGATAAAGCTTCAACATTTGGAATATATAGCTGGAGGGTATCCTCTGCTTGAGCAGTGCCACACTGAGGATCAAATTCTACTGCAATCCACTTGATGTGCTCAGGAAACTGAACTCTAGAAAATAAAAAGTAGGATTATCAGTAAAAGACAATTGTGTTTGCCCCCACAATACACACACAAAAAAAAGTCAACCAGCTGAACATCAAGCACACAAGTTCAAATATATCTATAGTTACCGGTAGTTTGAGACTGTGGCTGGTTTGTATGGATGCTCGCTTTCTACCCAGGCATAGAACTGAGAGGTTGTAATATTGGCTAAATCCGGATTAGTAGCAGCGGTCTGTTGATGAGTGCTATTATGCAGGAGAATCAAAGCAGATATGTGGGGTAGTAACTCTTGGACCAGTCCCAGAACCTGAACTGCACTCTGAACAAAAAAAAGCTCAATCGGTTAAATTTCTGAAATGGAAATATTTTTTTAAGGCGATAAGAGAAAGGGTGTAATAATTTTGATACTCACCCTTGGATCAGTGAATGCAAGGTAACTTATGTCTGCAAGAGCAAGGGGCACTAGAATTGTAATAATAGGAGCTTTACTAAGAATATTGGTTCCTAACATGTCTTCTGCCTTTTCCCTGGCTAGAGACAAAAGGTCTGAGACCCGCTGAACAATGGCAGAAATCATTGATAAAGTAGCTTTCCGGGCTTGGAGCTCAAGAAGTGCCTTGCTGGATTGTTGATTTTCTGAGTCTTGTGGATTGCTAAAAATTGAGATTATTATGAGAAAAATGAAACTATATTGTGCCCCACTTGCAAAGTAAGTTCAACTTTACCTGTAGTACAATATCTGAGGAATCTGCCCCCGTGTCTGTGTAGTGCCATTGAAACTCAAAGAGCAAGTAGAGAATGTAAAAGTTGCTCCATCAGGACCTTTAACTGTGCTGAGGCCACCATCTCCATTGCTAGTTCTGCCTCCATGATTGCGCAAGCGTACTGCATATTTCACTCCCTCCTACAGTGAAAAATGGGGAGAAAAAAATGTGATCAAGTGTTAAAAGACAATAATTCTATGTTTTTGTATGGAACATACCTTAATGGTTACTGGTTTGTCAAATTTCAACTCAGCTATATCCCCTATGCAGTCATCAGGGCCAAAAGTTCCTCGAGTTAGCTCTAGGCTATTCCAGCGCTGAGTGTGGGATGGATCACTACCAGAATTGTTCTGCTGAAAGAAACCAAAAGTTCGGACATAAAAATACTGCATCAATGCATTACCTGAAGGTGTTTTGAAATTTATAACAAAATAAGACATACAGAGCTCACATCATCCAGTAGTTCCAACTCATACTCATAACTTCCCATTCCTCCATAAACAGTGACACCAGCTATCACAACTCCTGATCTATCCACTGAAAAGCATATAGCATCTGGGGATCCATTGCCTGTATTCCATGTACGACTCTGATTTGTCCTAGTAAATCTAGAGGGAGTTGTATGCAGGACACGTCCACATGTCCCCTCCAAATCTTCATCACCTCCACTAGACTGGAAACTCAACTCAGCTATGACCCGTGCAAGCAGGTTGCAACAATTTATGACAAGTGGTGTAGAGTATGACACCTTCTCCTGGCATAATTCTTGACGCACGGGAACGCTGACCATGTCCAAAAGACGTTCCAACACATCTCGATAAGCCCAAGTGATTGTTGAATCACAGCTTTCAAGCTGACTGCGGTAGCTCATTTGCTCAACAAGAATAGGATAGTGATGACTGTCAACACACGGCATCATAGGTAGTCCAGTATTGTCAGATGGACTAAGCTGGCGCTTGAGAGAGGAATCTGCTGCATCCAAAAAAGAGCTGAGTATGGGAAATGTAGAGCGCAAGCGGATCGTTGGGCTACATAATGAATGCAGAACGGCACTGAGGAGTCTGTCACTGCTTGTTTCATCAGGTACACGTCGATCAAAAGCAGCCAGTAAGTCACACAGGCAAGTCCATTTCAAAAATGCTGTTGGATAAAATGCATGGAAACAAGACACAAAGGTCTGGTGACATTCTTCCAATATACTTGTTATCATGGAGGAGTAAGGTAGAGTGCGCACAGAATGCGGAATACGTGACTTGGAAGTCTTCAAGATTGCAATGTTGGGCATTGAATCAGACAAGATTTGACGAAGCAGAGCTCTAACATCACCAATACATTCTGCCAATATCACAGATTCAGGAGTTGGCTTTTTTGTAGCAACCTGGTTTGGGTAAATTTCATTGACATAAGAGCAGATAAGACGCAAGCTGCTGCGGCTAATGTACATCAACCGTCTCAGATCAATCATTGCAGCAGATGCAACAGTTGACCCTGATGCCATTCCAGATATGTCCATAAGATTCACTTTCAGAGTGTTCCAGCTCCAGCTTAACAATGCTAAGAGTGATTCAAAGCATTCCTTACTTACAGCTCGAGAGAAATCTCGACTCAGGATATATACTGGTTCTGCTTGGTCTACTTGTCGGTTCGGAGTATGGTTTTCAGGTGTCACAACCCTGTACAAAATTTGGGGTATTTGGCCAGCATTGTTATCAGTGCCATTGTTTGACTTCTTTGAAGATTTGAAGTAGAAGATAACTTGATCCTCTGTTGTCACCATACCCTGCCCACTGGAACCACAATCACTAGATGGACCACTTATGCGAGCCCAAGCCACATACCAGCGATTTGCTTGTAATGGTACAGGTTCATCAAATAGCATTGGATACTTCTGACGGGGGCCACATTCATAGGGAATCTCTTCAGTTTCTGCAAGTAACTCCCCATCAGTCTCTTGTTCACCACCTTCCACACCAATATCAAATAATTTTATCTTCCCAGTATATTCTCCTCGGCCACCAAAGAGCCCAAAGCCGCCCAAGAGAATGTCAGTGTCAGCCATAAATCGAATAGCTTCAATCGAGTGCGCAGAGTAGCCCCAGCCACCTCCATGGCTTTCAAATCTGCTGACAGCAGAGAAATCCTCACGACTGTATACCTTGGTTTGCTGAGTTGTCTTGTCAATTGAATCTTCACATATGGACATGTTAAGGTCATGAGCCTTGGTCAATGTGTCCAAGCAGCACAAGAGGTTCAACGCAGCTTGTGATCTGGTAACAAAACAATTGGCCACCACAGGAAGGGCAAGTTCTGAACTCAGGATGGGAGGTTCCGCCACGCGCGTCTCACTTGCCACTACATTATAGCAAGTCAGCGTGGCAGTCAGGGGCTGATAACACCATACAACATTGAACAAGGGATCCAGGCAGGACACACAGCTCGAGAAGTCCACCTGGTCGGGGCCAGTAAAGCTGTTGCAGTTCCCGTCACGCCGATTGATGACGAGGCAGCGGAATGTCGTGACAGCGTCCACCTGGGACGGGGCCAGGATGATACTGCCCTTGTTGGCCATGACCGTGGACTGCGCCAGGTTGGACGAGTTGATGAGGCTCTCGTCGATGCGCAGGAACGTCTGGTCTCCCGAGGCCCCCACCCACGTGGCCCTGCGCCCGTGCCGAGGCCCAATGTGCGGCATCTTCTCCGGGGTGGCGTACCAGGCCCAGTCGGGCCGGGACTTCCCCGCCTCCTTCTTGGGCGCCGGGGCCGCGAGCGGCGCGACGCGCCCCAGCTGTCCCTTGGAGTGGTTACCGAAGGAGATGACCTCCCCGCGGACGGTGAGCACCACGGTGTGGTAGCTGCCGCAGGCGATGTGCACGGCGTGGAAGGGCAGCCGCACCATGCCCGGCACGCTCCTGGCCACAGGGTCCCCCACGCCCAGCTGGCCGTAGAGGTTGTCCCCGAAGGTGAACACGTCCCCGCTCTGCGTGAGGACAGCGGAGTGGTGCAGCCCGCAGGCGATCTGGATCACGGGGCTCTCTGTGGGCAGGTACAGGCGCGTCGGCGGCAGCGAGGTGGCGCGCGAGGCGTCTCGCTCGCCCTCGGCCCCGGCCGCGCCGTCCTCCGCGGCCCGGCCCTGCTGCCCCTGGGCGACCAGCGGGGACGCCCTGAAGGGCGAGCTGGGGGCCTTGATGGGGCCGTGCATGACGCGGCTGCTGCTGGCCGCGGCGGGGACTACAGCAGCGGCGCCAGAAGAGTTATTGACAGAGCTGTGGGAAGTGCTTGGGGCCGAGTTGTGGGCAGAGTTGTGAGCAGAGCCATGGGCTGAGCCATGGGCTGAGCCATGGGCTGAGCCATGGGCTGAGCTATGGGCTGAGCCGTGCGCTGAGCTATGAGCTGAGCTGTGGGCAGAGCCGTGAGTAGAGCCGTGAGCGGAGCCAGCGACCACCTTCAACTTTGGCACAGTGTGCTTCAGCCCAGCAGCCTTGCGCAGCTGCCTTTGTTTGCGTTCCTCGAGGCGCTGGTGCAAATGGTCCTGGAGTCGCTTGCCATGGCATCCTCTAAATATGAGATCCAAACGCATCATTCCTGCTATGTCTCCAGCACCAGATGGGCCCAGAATAGCAAGCTCATTGCTGTCCATATTCTCCCTGGCACAAATACGGCAGCACCCACACTCCTCACAACCAGAATCCCCCTCACCACAACCACACTCTCTGTACAGAAAAGAAAGAAAACACAAGGATTAAATATAACATACACCAGCTTGTGTCCTTAAAGGGCTAGTTACAAGGTACACTCACTGGCCAGGGTTACGATCAGGGCGCATGCTGCTGAGGCAGCTAATACTATATCCAGTACACTCCCTGCACACAGTGCAAACCATGCAATTCTCCTGTCGCCATTTGTGCTTTCCTGGAGCACACATTATGTCTTCCCAATCAAGGTCATCATCATCACCATCCTCAGAGCCAGTTGTCTCCATTGCTACAACAGCCTGAGCAAGGGCTAATTTAGGCAAAACAAAAAGGAGAATTATTAATTTGAGTAACATGCTTTCAAAGCTCTGTTCAAAGAGCTGACAATTATTTAAGTCAACAATGATAACCAAGTTTACAAACCTTCTTTCCCATGTGAAAAATCTCTTCCACACTGCCCCTTATTATTGATGCCAAATGTATAAACATGCCCTTTGCTACTTAGAACAACCGCATGAGCCTTGCCTAACGCTACTTGAACTATTGGAATGTCTTTCAGTTCAGTCACATGCCCTGTGACAGGATCACAGTGGGATGTATCTTTTCCAAACATGAGTAATTCTCCTTCCTTTGTGATGAGAGCTGTTGTGCCATTGTTACATGCGGCATATAGTATATGTTGACCATCAACTTTTGTCATCTTCTTAGGTTTTACAGCCTTTGGCTGACGACGAGCTTTACCTTTACAAAAAGGGAACAGAATTATAAAACTACCTAAATAATGACACTCTGAATACAGGAAAAATTAACAAAGCCGGAGTCATTACTTTGGTCACCATCCTCTCCACGACGAGCAGTTCCAGTAAAATATGCGCTTCCATCTTCAGCTACCAATACAGCATGAAGACCATCATGGCCAACAGCAATATGCACAATTTTGGGAGATTTAGTAATAGGTAGTTCTACCCACTTGCCACTTCTAGGACCTGGCTGCTTGATGCCTAAACTACCTGGCTTGCCGCAATACAGAACTTTACCAGATAATGTTCGAATAAGCCCAAAATCTTTTCCAGCTGTAATGGCAGCAACATCTTCTTCATAGGCATTTTGCAATAGATGATTTTTAGAGTCTTCATCATATGAAGCAGATCCATAAACACTTAGACATTTTCGAGCTAGTTTGAGAGGTAGCTCACTAATGGACACCACTGGAGAGGAGAGAGGGTTGAGGGTCCTCACAACAAATCCATCCTGTTAAAAAATTAGATAGAATTTTGAGCAACAGTTTTGTAAAAACTTATGCCAGTGTACTGAAAATTTGTTCCCAGCACCATTGCATATCTTACATCTTTGGCTGATGTTATCATCCCAAGGCTCTCTCCATCCGAAAAGAACACACTTGATTCAACCTCACGCTGACTTAGCAAAATCTTGTCAGTCACATAAAGCCCATTGCGATCAACAGTCAATAGTTCAAGGCTTCTCTTACTGCTTCTCTTGAAATACAATTTCCCCTGAAAGAAAAGAGAGAAAGAAAGAGAAAAAACCACTATTGTTACCAATGAAGAGTTTTCTTAAATACAGTGTGAAAGACGTGAGTAGGTCAAAGTAAATAGATAGTTAATATGTAAAATGGGTATGGAAAAACTTACATTGGCATATCCAAGCCATCCCCTTTCATCTGGGAAAAAGTCAGGTGCATGCTGGTACAATATTCCTCTCATTGAGCTTCGATATCCAGTACCCACTTTAAGCAGTCCTTTCGTAGTGTGGAGATACAAAAATTCACCATCACTTGCCATAGCAATCACTGGCCCAGGTTTTTTGAGATACTCTGGAAAGTTTACAGAGAGACAGTTTTACAAGAGTCATTTAATGATGGGGTCTCTATAAAAATTCTATAAGAAGAGAATATTTACCTTTACTCATCTTCACTGAAAACTGATCAATTTTACCAGCAATAGGAACACCATGGGTAAGCCAGTCAGGTCTAACAACTTTCCCCAAAAGTACCCCATGCACGCTTCGCTGTAAGGCTGTCATTACCAAAGGCATCTACAGCAATAAAAATTATACAATTATTATCCCACACAACACTTGCACAAGTTTCTTTTGTAGTATATATTTCCAGGAACAAATACAATACCTGAAGATTTTGAGTAGCTAATGCTCTAGGACACATAAGTAGTGCTCCTGTAGCATTAAGTAATTTACCAGTGTCTCCACGTACCACCACAAGACTTAAAAGACACGCACATGCTACAGCTGTGAGGTGGCTACCATCATTAGCAGCATCAGGTTCAGGGCCATGAGAAGTTGCCAAGTCCAATAGTAGACTGAAGAGTGGGTCTTCATGAAAAAAAAGAATGGCTTTAGAGACAGGTTCTTCAATACGGGCATCAGCACAGCAGGCCTGACATAAAATTTACCAATTATGTCACTGGGTTCTCCCTTCAAGCCATCAGGCTGCTGGCCTTGCAACACATCTAATATAGCACCAAGGGATTTTGTACAAAGAGCTGGGTGGGAAGAGCGGCTCTCTTTAATAATTTCAAAAATACTTCGGAGACCAATATCCACAACCTGTAACAGTACATCAATTTTTTTTTAAAAATGAGGAAAGAGCCATTTATTTACACTTTCTGTGCAGAGGCGGTCCAAAAAACTCATGTAATGGTTTTATACTATGAACCAGTCGAGAAAGTGCTAAGAGGCTTTAAAAAGTTGCATTGAATGATTTGTTGAGCCTGACCTTAGGCACACGGATTGGGGCAACATCTTGGCCATTGTCTGCAACATCTTCAACATCACTGTCAACATCGCTACAGCCCTCTAATGGAGGAGCACTTGATGAAGAAGCTAAGTAGATCTGAGCTGATCTTTTCATCCACCTATCCAACACTGCTTGGCGAATACTCGCAAAAGCAGCAAACCATGAGGCATTATACGGTAGCTCTACCTCAGGGGGTCCACCAATGGATGCAATGTCCACATACTCTACAGCAAACGTTGCAGAGGCTGGTCCTATAATCTGTGAACAAAACGAGAATTATCTAGCATACAAACAGACATATACATGATAACAAATTTCCTTCCACTCTTTGAATGATTTCTAAAACAAATACTGATGCAACAGTTGGATTGTAAAACAAACCTGTTTTCTTCTGTCTTTCAGACGTGCTGCTTTTCCTTTTTTGATTTTTTTCCAATCAGGACGTCTCCTAGAAAGAAATGAACAAGTAAACAAAAATGTAAGTTTACTAAAACAAGAAAATTAAATGTAACATAAGTGGGAATGTTTGCACTTAAACTAATAAAGAGCACTTTTTGATTTAATTATTATTTCATAAGCTGACTTAACTGTCGCATTTCATTCAAAAGAGAACTAAAAAACAAACTTAACCTTTTGACAGGACAGCCTGTCAAAAGACCGAAATGGAAAAAAATATGTTTACTTCATGTGATAAGTCCAATGAGCGTCAATGAATACTAACTTGTGTTGGTCTGGCCAAATCCTGAAAAGTTCGTGAAAATAGACGGGGAGGAGACCTGATTCTGGAATCATTTTCTCTTTGGGGATTGGGTTATTTTGATATGGCATAGCGGCGTCCCCGGACGCTTGGCGTGGTGTTTCTGATTAGTATCAGCGGATCTGAAAAGCGACAACGCTTTGGCCACTACGGCCAAAACGGCCGAGGCCAAAGGCTTTCCATTCCAGCCGTTTGTAATTCAAGCCTAAACTTTACTTCCGAAAATAACACGTTCAAACGTTGATAAACACTTCAAAAGCTTCGTTTACACTGCTGTTTACTATTTTTTTTGTTTTCAGCGCCTTGTGTAACAGGGTTCTCCGGTAGGAGATTACAGAAGCAGTGTTGCCAAGCCTTACATGTTGCCTCTAGCCCTTTGAGAGATGAACGTTTGATGTTTGCTACTAGCCATGTTCTTAATTTCAGTGTAAATTGAAGAAAATTATTGCTTTGGATGACGCAGTTTCGATTCCACGTGTTATCACTTGACTGAGTGTGTAACATTTTGCAATTGGGCACACAAGAGCAGAATGTAATTATTTTTTTTTTGCGTGCCCGGCCAAAATTTAATTTCTTGTACCACAACAGTTCAACTTCGTTAATTGTTTTGAAATTTCCCTCATGCTGAAAACGTTCAGAACCAGCACTGAAGGCTGGCCTAAGTATCACAAAACCCTACATGAACATTTGAATCTAACCATGACACAGCTCACGAAGACTTACTGGTGAACAGAAAATTAAGTTGACTGAATCAATATTTGTTCAGTGTTGACCGTAGTATTGTGAGGTCTTAACATTGGCCATATGTACAGGTGTAAATCGCAGGTTGCTCAATGAGAGCTTCAGAAATTGAGACAATCTGAATGTATGGAGGCAGTAAGGAAACGCAGATTGAAAAACACAAATAGTAATAATGCTATTTAGTTACTTAAATAACACCATTACAAAATTAACAAAATTAAATTTACGCGGGGTCATCACCCTTGGTAGCTCTTGTGTAGATCACCTGTGCGTGGTGCTTGATGACTTGCTTAATCATACCTGCAAGAAAAAAAAAAATTCAATAATATGATAAAACAAAAAAAAAAAGACTTCTTGAATACCTTTCATGAATTAAACTTCAACTCACCCTTCTGGAGAAGCTCGTCCAGTGCTCTCCTGGCGAGGGAACCTCTGATCTTCAGTCTTTCACTCACAACAGAGGGGGTAATAAGTTTGTAAGCAGGGACTTCCTTAAGAAGTTTATCATATGTGGCCTTATCGAAGAGAACCTGGTTGTTAAGCTTGTCACGGACTTTTCCCTTGGACCACTTCTGCAAATTTAAGTTACAAAGTTAGACCGTGAATAGTAGAAAAAAAAATAGAGACCTGATTAATTCTTGGGTGACAGCCTGCAGGCTAAGTAGCATCAGAAGTGAGTGATGGTATAAGGGTGTCATCATTTATCAGATAAATGGGACAGGTAAGATTTTCATCATGTTACTACTATGCAGGTGTCATCAAGAGAAATATGGCATCAGAAGTGAGTGATGGTATAAGGGTGTCATCTCAAGTCAGACAGTTGGGACAGATATAGGGATCATCATAAAACCAATATTTCTCTACAAATTAACTAAGTATACATTGATGAGTACTTGAGAATTTGGCATCAGAAGTGAGTGATGGTATAAGGGTGTCATCTCAAGTCAGACAGTTGGGACAGATATAGGGATCATCATAAAACCAATCCTTCTCAAATACTCTTGGACCATTAACAACTCTGAACACTTTCAGACTCATTATATCAGTAATTACTATCACAGAGTTCCAGTAGAGAAGATCATCATAAGTGTACAGACGTCTACTACGTTGCGTTTTAAAACCATCATGTCACAGTAGCATCAGTAGTGGGTAGCGGTAAGCTGGTGTCATCACAACTCAGAAAGAGGGACAATAAAGAGTTTTCATCAAGTGCTACACCGCTGGACATGGCGGTCTTAATTATTATGTTGAATAGAATTAGACATAATACTGTTTATCTCAGACTCATTATATCAGTTAAGCCATCATCAGCATCTGGGTAATGAGGATCATCCTTGACAAACATGTGCACGATGGACGTGGTTGAAAGATCGCACACTTGGTCCCAAATTAAAGATATGGACATACCTTCTTCTTGGCCTTGCCACCTCCGCCTCCTTCCTTCTTCTTGGCGGGCTTCGCCGACTGCTTGGAAGCAGCTCCCTTCGCGTCCTTCTTGGGCGGCTGAAACATGAGAGGAAAATGGGTATTAGGTATTGACAATGGTGGGTTACGAGCCTACACTAACGACACAAACTCGAATGCAAAGAACAGTCCACAGGTTAAGAAACTAGAAAGCAACACTGACAGCAGTCAGAAATTTGCCATGCATAAAACATTAGAATATGTGTCGACAGATCCTAACGTGGAGACTACAGCAACCACAACACTGATTAGCCACCTAACCTCAACTTCATAAAAAACACAGATTGAGCACCATACTACGGGTAGGGCGTAAAGCGACGCGAAATAATTTAAATTAACAATGGAGATAATGAAAGAAACTCATCGCGTGCGGAACTCGAGTCCCGGCGATTTTTACACGGCTATAATAACAGCGTCAGCTTGGCCATGTGGTGCACCGCACACAAGAGCACACTTTCGCAGAAGATCCCTTGCGAAAAATTACCCAAGTTTTTCGCGCACGATAATTTAAATGGTGCCGAAAGTTCACTTGATTTATTCGAACAATAAAAAGTTCAATTGATGAGGTTTTTCTTTGTTAAAACTTCATAAATACACCCGCGCATGAACTCACCATGATGACGACTCCCTGCTTGAGGGGAAACGGAAGAGGGAAATAGGACGGGAGCCGGCTGAAGAAGGTCTCTCAGCTGGCTGTGAGATGCTCAACTTAATCGGCCAGGATTAGGAGCAGCTGATACTTTTCCCTGCAGCGGTCAGACCAAATTTTACAAAAAATAAAAACATAAATCGGGAATGTGAATTTAAGGCACGAATAAATTTAATTAAATGTACTTTATTTTTTTACAAAGTACGGAGATGTCACACTTAGGGATGCCTGAGTACAGTCACCCTCTCACCATGGACATTTTATCCACTTTAGAATCAACGATGGGTCTCAAACTGTTACAATGAACCCCCTTTACAACGTTTTAGTGATAATATAGCTGTGAAAATAGTCTGTCATGAGATAAAATCTAAAATTTTAGTTGTCGTTTGAAAAGGTGAGTTGGCAATGAAGTAGTTTACGGTCCGGGCCAGGCCGTCCGGCGCGGATTTTGATCAAGTCGCGTGGAGGGAAGTGCTCCAAAATACTTTTCCATCGCATAACGCTTCGGTGAATTTCATTTTAAATGACATTAATTGAGCAGTTTACATTTAAATTGACATTAAAAATCATCTGGTTGTATGAAAAATCGCGCATACCAATATAACTGTTTACTTTGTGACGTCAACGTCAACACCCTTCCCTCCTTCCATCGTATTGTGGTTGTGAGATGGCTCAGTATGAATTTACCGACGAAGAAACACAGCTTCCTCCTATAAAGTACGAATGTAAGTTGATTTTACTCTGTTTCACTATGGTAACAGTTAGAGTCCAGTTGACACATCGGCTGGGACATGATACAATTCAAATTACAAAACAGACCTAACCTAAGATGAAACATGTCTCACTTTTCAAGTCTTTTCAGTAGCTCTCTGATTCATTTCCATGTTTAATTACAGACTTGGACCATACAGCAGATGTCCAGTAAGTATCAACTGTTTGCTTCTCTCAGCTGGTGAACTAATTGGTGCATTATATCTTATTACTCAACGCACATGACAAATTGCCTCATCTATGATTTATTTTTCAGACTTCACGCATGGGGAAGTAATCTAGAGGAAGCATTTGAACAATGTGCTATGGCAATGTTTGCCTATATGACTGATATAGAGTGTGTGGATTTACACGAAGCACATCAAATAGAAGCCCAAGGCACCGATTTAGAATCCTTGTTATTTCACTTCCTTGATGAATTTCTTTTTTTGTTTTCATGTGAACCATTCCTGGTTGCAAGGGTAACATTAAATATTTTAATGGAATGTTTAAAACCTTAATTGTAATGATACTGTTACAAGTCTTATGTTCTTCTTCTTGCTTTCAGAAAGTGAAAATTACTGAATTTGATCATGAAAACTTCAGAATTGTTGCCAAGGGTTATGGAGAGCAATTTAGCCTTGGAAAACACCCCCAGGGTACTGAAGTTAAGGCAATTACCTATTCAAATCTACAGGTACATAACAAGGCGGAAAAGTATGAGGTTTTTGTGATCATCGATATCTAATTAAAATAGCAATTGTTTTCTAATGAAAAACTAACTATGAATGATCTCTGCACAATGGAAAGTGTTCAATACAATATTAAGTACAAGTAGGTACTTTCCTACACACGTATGAAGACATGATCATTAATAACATCCGTAGGTGTAAAGCAAACAGAATCAATCAATTTTTATTATTACTTAATAGTACAATAAAATAGCTAGCATGATTACATTAGCACCGATGAGGTGTTTTTCGAAATCATCGGCAGCAGTAAATTTCTTAAGAAAGCCATCTTAGAGATGTAGTGATGAAAGTCAACTAAGTGAAACTTCTCAAATGCGAGACAAACAGACAAAGTGGGGTTAGTCGTACATATCAACAACATATAGCTGGTTATCCCTTTAATGTCGCAGATGACAACACTTCAAAGCTAATAAAAAATGTTAAAAGAGCTAAACCAAGTCAAATTCATCCCTCCCAATTCGTGGCACGTAAGATAAAATTGATTACTGTCACAACTACGATGGCGACTCCATACCCAAACACATGACTTCTGTACGTCACAGCAGGCGCCGCCATCTAGTGGACAGATGTTTTCAACCGGTGGCCCTACCTCGAGCACCACATTCTTTTACGGTCGAATTTAAGCGGAATACGTCTACTGCAGACATAAATGTCACTTTTCAAGATTACTAAGATTCGGAAGAACGCAAAGTTTCAAACTGGGCGACATCCAAAGGCTCTGTACCTGTTGATTACGCCCGTAAACGGTGGCTTGCTTGTTCCGGGGCCACCGCACTTCCACACGTAGTGCGGGAAAGGTATTTTCGCGCCATCGCATTGTTGCTAGCCATCCGTGGCGGATACAGGCGGATGCTATACACGCTTCCTCTATGTGTTTCATTTAGGCTATTTTAGAAAACATATATTGTTTTAACTGAATTCATATGAGATTATTGTACTTCTTACACGTACTGTTGTGTTAGTGGACCAATTTTTAAAGTTACAAGTGGTTTAGTGATTAAAGATCATCGAATCCTTGCCATCTCGTAATTATGTTGTAACGGAGCTTGCTTGCAAAGCCAAGCTCGTCGAACGAAACAAAAGACTGCATTTAGAAGCATTACTTCATTCTGTTAGTCATATTTACCATGTAGGATTTTATAAACGCCATCATTTCGTCTGCATTGGTCCAAAATTTTGAAGACTCGCGCACTTGTTCAGGTAAGGTTGAGTGATCGGGCAGATGTAAATTTGTATGGAATGTTGATCGAAGACGGTGTTAGGGGCTCCTCAATTGCCCTATGTAAACTTCACAGCAATAATTAAGAAATTGAACTGAGAGTGTTTTGCACTGAAGTGAAATCCTTGCGTTAGTTTTCTCGGTTGTACAAGTTATTTGCCGGTATGTATCGTGGGTAGGCTTTGCGTCGGCTCCTGGTGTGTGGGAAGCATGCCGATATATCTTATTCTTGTTCTCTGCGCAGTATGAATTAAATTCGGCTTATGCCCATTTTTGTGGTATTGGGGTGATTTAGTTGCCTTTAAGCGTGTAAAAATCAAGGTGAGACGCAACTTTTCGTTGCATGTTAAGAATGAACATTTGTCCAACTCGTAGTTAAATGGCCAGCTTGAAGGAAGCACAGGCGTTGATTGTGGCCATGCGTTCATTGTAATTTTTCCTGAATTTTTGGGAGCCATTTCCAACCCAAGACTTACTGGAAGTATGTTCCCTGTGCTATGATGTATTTATTCTTTGAGGAGGAAACTATATTTTCTCTAGAATCAGAGGTACGCCGGTAGGGTCCAAATCGAGAGTAAACGTACTCGCCATCGAGAACCACGTACTTCGTGTCAGTATTTTTAATGCTTTGGTTCATTGAGGTTGTTCAAAAAGGCTTTCCTGTAATATTCTGTGTGACCCTAGTTTTTTTCTGCCCTAGTACATACCTAGGTTGACGCTGGAAATGTAACCAGTTTGTTGTGAGACCCATAGCCTTACTTTTCATATATGTGGAATTGGTTGTGGAGGGGGTACTGCTGCCCTTCTGTTTTGATATTTCTTCATCAGTCTTTTTACTTTACTTGTTCTATGATTTCCAAGCATTGGTGAAAACATAAATGCACTCATCATCTTTGAAGAAAATGATTTGCTGATGTTACAGCCAACCCCAATTTGTTCAATTGAATTTAATGTTTTGGTGTGGATGCGTTCAGTTCAATTTCTTAGTTGTCCTCAATTTTACATTTGTGGTGGATTTATTAGTGGTTTATGAGTTGTATGCCATCAATTTGAAAGTAAAAGCTCTACTTTCTTAAGTATAAAAGGGATTACGGTTAAAGTGTAGGAAATATGTATGATGGGTCATGATCTAGGCTCTGCACGAGATTGTTTGGATCATTACTATTTTTGGCTGCGGTATCATTATTGTTCTTCAGCAAGATTCCAGTTTCTTGTCTCTGCCTTTTAGTTAGCCTTGTTTTTAAACTTATAAAGTTCAATTTTTTTTACTAGCCAAAAATGTTCTACTAGAATTTCATGCTGTCAATTTTATTTTGCTGTTGCCAGTTATTTTGACTCAATAAATTAGAATCTCAACAGTAGTCTATTTAATATTTTCACATGTATCAGGAGACCACAATGAGATATCTCTAAAAGTTGTGTGTTCTTTTTGTGCTGTGGCAGCACTTGGTGCACCTCACTGTTCACCATGCCACGAGGCAGAAGGACTGTTCACCTGAACGATGAGTCAGTGGTGAAGATGGCAACGCCAGACATGGCCACAGCCAAGCTAGGTTAGTGTCTGTGTACGCTTAGTCTGCTTTTATGTGGCATATTTTCCACTCCTTAATTTGTCTGTCTGGTCTGTGTGTGAAGTTTGAGATAGTTGCAAAGCAGGCACTGTCTATTCACCTTATTATCATTCAATCATTCAATGTCAATGTGAAAAGTTATAATTCTAGACATAAATACAGAAATTGCAGTTGTTTCACTTACATGTAAATTTGTATTTGCATGGGCTTGTTTTCAGACTCCATCCTTCAACTTGCACTTTGGTATTTTTGAACAGGCAGACTTCTGCTATAATGTGACCATACATAAAAATTATGCCATTTATTCAAGAAAACTTAAACTTCTTTTATCCTGTCCTTTATGTGCTGTGTGTCTGAAGTATTGCATGTTTAGTTTTGGGTTTGGTGCAACTAAATTTTTTCCCTCATAGCATTTATGTCATTTTTTTTTACAGGTTCTGAACGATATTACTCACTTCCCTTGGACTCAGTTATAGAACACACTACTGCAATTAGTCCAGCATCACCTTTCCAACATCTTCTAGACCACGAATACGGTCAAACACCTCAAGATCAGATAATTCGTCAACCTGTTGCTATACCGCCTCGTTCACAGGTATAGTTTTGCTTATTTTCACAATTCTTTCTAAAGCCAAATAAAATCTTATAAACCATTCTGTATTATTAACTTGTATTCATTCTTTTTGGTTTTTCATAGGCGGTCAAACGCCGGTTAAACCTGGAGCCTCGGAGCGAAGATGGGTTCAAGACGCCCAAAGTCACAAAGAGAATGCGAAGCATTTCCAACAACAGCTCCTACAATAGTCCAGCACCCAAAGGGAAAAGTAAATGTCAATCAATGTTTGCTCATTCAGACTTTAAGCTGCTTCATTCGGTATTTGGTTGCAAGCTGTTTAGTTTCTGGCAACGCTCATCTATTTACCAACATTTTCAGATAAAACAGTTGAGAGGACTCGATATGACACCTCTTTGGGACTCCTCACCAAAAAATTTGTTGGACTGTTGGAGAATAGTCCTCATGGTATTGTTGACCTCAACGTTGCGTCGGAGAAATTGGATGTTCAAAAACGAAGAATATACGATATTACCAATGTTTTGGAAGGAATTGGAATCTTGGAAAAGAGATCTAAAAATAATATACAATGGAGGTATGAGGAATTCAATTATTTCTTTAAACCGATTATTATGATTGTGGTAGTAAATGCTGACATGATGTCACAATCGTGTATCATGTTTACAACCTTTCAATGAAGGAAATTTTGCTTTTAGGGGTGGGCAGATGCCCAACAACGGTGATTCTCAGTCCCGTTTAAGGGCTGATGTAAACAATTTAATGGCTAAAGAAAACATTTTGGATGAACTTATAAGAAATGCTGGTTTGTATTGCTCCGTAAGAATTAATTGTTTGAAAATTTTTATACATTTTTTTTCATTGTGTGGTTTGTTTACCTGTTTAGAACAAGATCTGCGACAAATGAGTGAGGACAAGCGCTATGCATACATTACTTATCAGGATTTGAGAAGTATACCCTGCTATGCAAATGAGACAGTTATGGCTATTAAAGCACCTCCAGAAGCCAAACTGGAAGTACCTCATCCCAGTGGAGTAAGTTTTCTACAGTCTTCAAAACCCTATTCTAATTTCTATATATTATACTTGCTTCTAATTTCATCCAAATCTCAATCCAGAATGGTGGTCTACAAATGTACATGAAGAGTACTAATGGAGAAATTGAAGTATTTCTATGCCCTGATGATGCTGGAACTAATGATCAAGACATTAAACCTAATACGTCTCAGTTGGATGATCGTGAGTACTTTTATTAATTTGCTAATGTAAGTTGTACTTAGTTAGTTAAAGCAATTGTTACGCTTCCTTAAACTTTTTGCAGTTGCTGTTGGTGAACACTACATTGATGTACCAACCCAACAAATGGTTCCTAATCAATCTTGTCCTGCACTAGAGGCGAATGATGTGGTATCTGTTATTCCTGACACTAATATAGACCTAGCAGCTTTGGGAATGTTACTGAAGACTGAAATGAAGAGTGAGCCGACCTCTGCTAATAATGATCCAGTTTCTCAGGATGAAGGCCACAGTGAAGGTTTGTCATAAATTTTAAAATAGTACCTTACTGCGTTTTTGGTTGTCCTTTTTGTTTTATTGTCTCTTCTTAGCTTGACACAATTCTTTTGTTTTAACTTTTTGTCCTTATTCTAATTTTTTTAGGCTCTCTGGATGCGTCACATAGACTTCGTAATGCTTTAATCAGTGAATCTGATGATTTTGGTCCTATGGGAGGCAGATACCAATTACAGACTGAAGACCAACACAATAACAGCATAACAGGTATGTTGGCTTTTCATATTTCTATTAATGGCATGATAGTGTACGTTTTTGTCCCTCTCTGTGCATGTTTGCTCTCAGCTACCTTATCCTAACCGTCTAGCCAAACGCTCTCATTTTCTAAATGTGGAACTGCCTCTACCAAGTTAAGATGGCCTCCAGAGTGTGGCCACACTATCGGAAAGTCAGGGAGAATTATAATCTTGCATCTTATCATTGTTTTCTTTCAGTCTTTTCCTGTTATCAAATTGTGCCTATAGTATCTATGAAAGTGAAGGGCGTTGCGCTGAAATTCAAGGGAAAGTCCTCCAATTGTCAGAGAATTTGACAACTCAAATTGCATGGCTTCTCTGCCTTCAACACACTCAAATTTTATATATGATCATGCTAAGACAATTTAAAAGTGTATAATGTTGTTGATATTTGCTTTCAATCTTTAATGGCATTGCTTAGTTTGTTCCACACATTGCCATTAAAGATTGAAAGCAAGTATTAATAAAATGATAAAGCAATTTTATTTTATTTTTTTATTTTTTTTGGTCATTCACCAGTGACAGATTATCCACACTTACTTAACATGATTTCTGTCCTGCTGTCAACCAAGTTTAGGAAGTGACAGAGCTTGTCTTTATACACCACTTCTATGTTATTCTCCTGCTATGCTTTGTCATGTGCTTTTTAAAGACATGCTCATACTCACCCCTTCTGATTTGTTTGAAATGCAAATGCATCACTCAGTTGCAGTATCAGTAGCCACTTCATGCGTACCTGTTTTTGCAGCTTTACTACTGGCAGATATGAAATGAATGCATGTGGCATGCCTTTGTGATTATTAACCTATAATATTCTGGATCATGTTTGTGTGAAGATACTCAACAGCCTTAATGCCAAGTTTGGTAGACTATCACTTGCCAACTTGGAAACAAACTAACCTCTCTGAAGACTGCGCTTGATCGCATGCGCTTCCGGTTTAGCTGAATTGTATGTTGGCTGCGCTTTTGTGAGCACGTAGCACCATGGAATTCAGCTTAATCTGATGCTGCTCTCATCTGCTACCTGTCTGCCTGCATTCTTCTGTGTTCATCATACCAATGATTTAGGATAATGTTGTGATATCTGCTTTGTCTTGATTTTCACTTAATGATCTAAGTTTTTTTTGTTTCTGCTTTTTGTTTTATAGATGCTGATTCAGCTTTAACCAGCAGTGAACCATTTTTATCTCTGGAACCACCTCTTACAGATTTTAACTTCAGCCTAGAACCTTCGGAAGGCCTAACTGAAGTCTTTGATTTTCTATTTTGAAATGAAAACCAAGGTACAAAAGCTTTGCCAATCCAAGAGATATTTTTTATATGTGGACTTATATTGGTGTATCATACTGTTGTTTCTGTATGCTCTTGTGACAATATGTGAACACTCTTTCTACAATTTTTTGATGTGTTAGGCAGTTGGAAACAAAACACAACAGCAAAACATCACATCTTTTACAAGCATCTGAACTGCCATAATGTATAGCCATTAAGCAAATTTTGAATGCTTTAAGAAAGAAGCTTTCAAATGTTGTCTGCTTTTTTTATAGACACTTTTTAAGGACTCAATAGTCTTGGTGCCTTGTGTTTTTTTACACACATATATGTATGTAATAACATTAAGTTTGTATATTTTTCTGTATGCGTGAGTTTTGAATGCATGTAAGCTATGTTTACCCTCATCAGTGTATGGCATTGATGTTGATCTATTTGTGTGTACCTGTTAATTTTCCTGTAAGAATTAATGTGGAACCTTTAATGAATTGGGAACTACTAGATGATTGGCTATTCATTGTATCCTTAATGCACTGTAATTATTGAAGTAGGCTGTCTTGAGCATGTACCTTCCTCTCAAATTTGCACACAGCCTGATTTCTAAATGTAACATCCTATTTTGGGAGGAACAGCAAAGAAGTAAATGTGCTGGATTTCTTTCAAACATGCAGCCTTTATGAACTTTATCAACCTTGGAGTTAAATGAACTATTTGTGGTTTCTAATTTTCTATCTTCTGTGGTGCTGTCAGAAAATCCATTGTTAAGTCCCTCAAATGAATTTTGGAAGCTCATCAAAATTTCCTAATTATTTTCTAATTTTTATGTTATGTACTGTCAGATGTGTTTTTTAGTCTGTCTTCCAATGTTCCTTTGGATACTTTGCACACGGTCTCCTGCAATTGGTGACCTTCTAAGTAATGTTATCTAAGAAACAAATTATGTTGTATACCTTTTTCTGGTATTGATTTTATATGTTATGAATCAAGAAATTTCTTAATTTTTATGCCCACTACAAATGTATTTGGAATATTGCCGATATCTGTCTCAGACTCCACCTCTTTCTGCTAGATTGGCCTGATCCACCTTCCATTCCATTGTATGACTAATATGACTACATGACGCAGTTTTGGCATGTTATTTCCTCCTCATTGAGAGAAGACAGTGCAGGCAATTGTGGTTCATGTTAATGAGATAATTGCTCAACAAGTTTCTGGAATTTAAGGTACAAATGTAATTTTATTCAAGCATTAATCAATAGTTACCCAAGCCCAGTTTTCTTTCCCAGTTCTGTTTAAATCTCCTTTACATTAATTTATGACACTGCTCCTTTTACAGTGCAAATATATGTGTGAGCGGGATTGAGCCCTCATCAGTAATTGTTGAGGAGTGAACTGAAAGTGTGCTATGCTGGTAGAATATGTATGTGACATTTTGCATGTATTATTTTACATTTTTTATGCACTGTTTCACATATCATGTAACTGGTGTACTTGTGTATATACGTATTTATCAAATGATACATATGACTATGTAACAATTCTTGTGCAAATTTACATATTGGTTTTTGCACATTTCATTATAATTGTCCTTGTCTTGTTTTCTTGTTTGTTCAGGCAGTGAATGTGAACTCAAGCAGATTTGTTGTATTACCAACCTTTTTGTCAGATTTTTTTTCCAGAGGCTAGGTGTAGTTTTTCCTTGCCGCTACCACATTCTACATTTTTCAGATGCAACTACTAACATTTAGCATTAAACAAATATGTCATTTGAGGGGGGAAAAAGTTCATTCAGTGTGCTTCTGTCTTAACTTGTCTGCACAACTCAGTTAGTAATTTGTTCTCTTCACAACAGATTAGGTGGAGTGTGTTCAAGAACTCTCTGGTTCTGGTCAGCTTAGCATTGTAATAAGAACTTGTGAGGGCGATGGAACATCCTCTCTTGTGAAAATGAACATGCATAGTTTGACTGTCAAAATGATCCTACTAATTAGGAAGTTTTCAACTGCATTCTGCTTGAGTGTACAGCTCCGGCTTGTAACTAAAACAAGAGCACATGTTGTATTCTTAAGTTTTACCTGACAGGAAATCCATCATCTCCCACTTTGTTGATGCCATATTGTCCATAATTACCCCCTCCCCCTCTTTCTCTCTCCTCAAATTTCTGAATTAGCAATAATACACTGACCAGGTAAGACTGTTGATCAGTTATTGTTTCCCCTGTGACTTCTTTAAGCTTGGAAGATTTTAATAGCTTTTATTTTGGGAGTGATTCTATCGTTGATTACCTTAATTAGATGTGTATTTTTAATTTGAATAGCTGTTTTATCTTTTCGGTCTTAAGCTCTCAACCTTGAAAATTTACCATAAACAGAGTTAATCTACTTCTACATTATTATGTTTTTAAGTGGCTTGTGTACTACAATATGGAGCTGAGTTGTCTCAAAATTATCAGAGGCAGTACAGTTCAATGTTTTGTCTGACTGATCTGGTAGTGGTAGCAAATTTGTTTCATTTGGCCTTTATTACTTACCAAGCAATTTTTTATCTCAAGATTGATTCTGTTCTGGTCATTCAAGTACTGGAATGTTAGGGGTAGCCCAGCACCCAGCATTTGTGTGACTCACCCACACAAATATTGTGACAGTTCTAGTCTTCATCGTCCAATTCAATATAAAACTCAATTGTGCAATGTTTATGGTGCAGTTTTTAAATGTTAATTTCTTTGATGTTTCTTATATGCAGACAACTTCTGATGTGCTGCAGTTGGATACAGGAACGGGATTTTGCCATTTGACTTCTTGTTAAAGTCTGAATTCACTAATTCATCAAACAGATTTTGTAATAAGTGTCTATGTTATACTGTAGTAGTGAAGTAAGTCAATTTAAATGTAATTGGTTAGTGGTGGTTTGTTGTTAATTCTGTGAAAACTGGTGTCAGTTTCCTAAATTGGTCTCAAAGCCTGTACCACTGTATTATATTTTCATGTTGAAGTACTGTATAGAATAGAAACAAGCAGTTTTATTGATTTGTAATGAAAAGTTTAAATTGGCAATAATTTCAGATCCTTTTAAATCAATGCTTGTATATTTGAGCTTTTAAAATATTAGAACTTTTGTTGAGACATTCTCAACTGAGGTTACAAATATAAATTCACCAATTTTTGAAAAATTGCTTCTGAAGTTGAGTATCCGATTCCCACCCTGTAAATAGAAATGAAATGTCAACTACACAGGGGTTAGACTTCAACTCTGCCTGCGCAATTCTATAAGGAGGGGAAAAATTATGCAGAATTACGGTAACAATTCTTTTTTTTTTGTTTATTTCCATACATAAGACTATAAATGCACCTAAACTTCAAAGGCAGTACAGCTGCAATACAATTTACAATGAGTTCAACAATATAAAATTGAAGTATAATAACTATAATTAGAAATTCTAAAATTCCAACAATATGCTCAAATACTCAAACTGAAAATATCTCAATCTTCAAATGATAGTGGCCGGGGGGATGGAATTTAGTAGTGACATTATTCCAAAAGAAAAGGAAGCTAACACGTATGGAATGTATATGCATCCTTCACCACAGTACAGTGTGCTATGACCCTGAAGTAACAATATTTCTCCACAACAAAACTTCAATAAGTGAGGATAAAATTCAACATTTTACTAGTCAGCCACAATGACATCCAAGCCGCGTTTAGAAGAAATTTGAGAATAGTGGTCAACATAAGTAAAACTAGTGCAAGAATTCAACTATTCTTTACAACAAAATAGAGGGTACACATTTGAAGAAAAGGTCCAGGGATAATATTGATTTTGAGCATTATTTCTGAACACACTATCTAAAATGTTCTGTTTGGTGAAGACTGCAAAGTAAATTAGGTATCATTTAGATTTGGTCCCCTATACTATATTCTTTTGAATTAGACAACATAGACATCACAACATACCAAGTGTAAGAGGTAAACTACTGTCACTTAAGCTGGTGTCATAACATAAAGCAAACATTAACAAAACAGTAGCAGCTACTAAAGCACTATCTGTCAACTGCAAGGTGAAACGGTAGCTAACAACTGATACAAATCAAGTAGGCAAACCAATTGAGAGTTCTAAAAACCATTTAAGATAGAATACTTTGAGTTCTACATCATGAATCTGTAGAATTCATTTTATGACAGTTGTGGCAAATGCAGCTTGACATTTCAAAGAAATACTCTCACTAAGCAGTAATACGAACACCCGGCAGATAAAAATAGAGATTCGCCGTGGGCGACAAAGTTTGTACTTTTCCTTGGCAGGAAAATTTGACACAAATAAAAAAAAAAAAAAAAACTGTGTCATATCATAGCTTGCAGGAGGATAGGTGAGATAAAAGAAAGACTTCACACAATATCCTTTTCAATAATCTCACCTAGCGTCAACATTGGGTTGAGCAAACCAGATTAATAAAATAGTTCATTGTGTAAAATAACTATTCTTCTAGCAGCCTGCTTGCTTGGATTATCTACTTGGACGGAACAGAATATTGAAGGTGATTAACAAAATTAAAGTCAGTTTCAATACATCATACTGTTGTTAAATCTAAAATAATACACAATTCAAACCTGGAATGCATTTCATTATTTGCTTTCATACGTTCGGTTATGTCAAATCCCTCATTCTGGAGGAAGAGAGAAATGCTAAATCTTACATGACATTTTTAACAAGAACAACAATGGCAGTTAAATTTATGAATATATTCTGAAACCTCCCAAACTCGCTTTACTGTAACAATACAAGCACTTTTCTCCAACTATTTTTATTTAAAAACATTAATAAAAAAAGGAAATTAAAGTTTATAAATACCAAATGCAAACACTATAGAACAACATGAAAGAAATGATTTAAAATTAGATATGTTGCTTTGTGGAATACAATTCTTTAATTGATTAATACAACGAATAATAAATATTGAGGTATTGTAAACATTTGCGATCATCGATGTGGCACCAACAAAATGCTTTACTGTCTTTAAGCTGTGCAAAAAATTAAAAATCATATGATACATCAAATAAAATCCATTAATTCCTATGCAATCAAAAAAAAAGAAGCCATACTTCTACATATGCATCAAAAAACAAAATTGTCCCTTTACCTTGCAACATAGCACCAAAAACATAAGCTGATTAATCCTGATTTTTCAATATACATAACCCAGTGTGTCAAGAAAATATCCAGAAACATTCATGTGTACTCGCCTGCTGCTTTCCGTACAGCTGTTGGAATTGATTCTTGAGTCCTGGATTGAAGGGAGCGCCCAAGAAGCTCTGGACAAGCCTTTTCACCAGTTTGGATAGCATTGAGTTCCATGAGGAGATCATAATTCACTCGGTCTGACACTAGTGAATCTTGTCTGGAAACAAAATAATCATTCCGATTTAAATTAGATATAGAGAGACAGAATATTTACAGAGATGAACAATTGTTTAAACCCACTTGTAGTCTTCATGGTTCCGTACAAATCCTCTCATCCATCCAGCAAGTGTCAGTAATTGCCCAGATGCTCGCCTCTGAATAAGTTTCAGATACTGTTGTATCGAACAGTGGGTATCTGCATCCACATCCATTCCACTCAAGTAGCTATTGATAAGGGGGATGAGTCCAGGGAACTCTCCTGCCTGAAAACATGTACATAGAGATGTAAGTACAAAATTAAATTACTCAACATACAATCAAACTAGGAATCTTGTAATATACCTTTCCATTAATTATTTCATCCACAGTCATTAATGTATAGCAATCTGATGAGTCTGTTTTAGCATCAGGGCTTGACTGGCAGCAAGCTGTACATGCAGGTGGAGAGCTAAATGTTGTAATATCCTTACGGAACCAAAACTTTTGAGTTTTAACTGCATCCTTCTTTTGAGCATTTTTCATATTTTCATCAACCTATCATAAAAGCATGTGATATTATAAGAGGTGAAACAATATATTACACCTATGTGCGAAAGTTAAATTAATGTTTCTTACCTTGCTGATTGGTATGATTAAGTTTATCCGATATGACAAAATTACTCGGGTCAACAAAACAACAAAACAAACAATGGCTGCATTTTCAAAATCAGTGATTTGAACTTCACATGGTCTGAACTCAACTCTCCAGCCAATGGAAGAATTAGGAGGTGGTGGTTTGAACCTCATTGTTTGCCAATTTGTTGATTGAATGTTCTGAAAGAAATAAGATTTTACTAAAGTGCACTGATACACCGAAAATAGAATGTAAAGAAGCACTAAGTGCCCACATTGATTCACAGCTCACCTCAAAATGATCTGTATCCTCTTCATCATTTTGATTAACCTTCTCACTAAATAAGGACACAGAATCTCTTATAAATAAGTGAGCTATGTGTTGGGCAAGCAAGTGATCAATGTCAGCTTTGCGCAATTCATCATATATAGCTTGATCATAAATCAATGGTACATCATTGTATCTAGATGTTTGAAGAAAAATCACAATCATATCAGAAGTACATTTTAAAATAAACTGAAAAAAGTACAAATAAATGTAACACATACTTTTCACCCTGTTCTGAGAGATAAGAGTCAATGGAATCATATCTTGATTTGGGAATGACAAACTTGTTGTTCTTAAGAGGTTCGAGCCCTCTTTCCTCTTTTGTTCTGCAATCAACAGATCCAGAAATGACATTCCATCTGCAATCAACATCCGTCAAGTGACCACGATGAATGGGAGATGCAGCAGTAAGGGCAAGCTATGGAACAAGAAAAGTTTGAGTATGAGACACTGAACCAAAAAATACAATTTTTATTTCTAAGAGTTGAAATTTTAGGAGTTTTACTTACCATTATGGGGCAAAGAGGTGTAAGCTGGTCATAGAGGGTACGAGCTTCATCAATATTGCAAGCCTGAAATGTCAAAACAATGTTAGCAATGATTCTTTCTGAAAATGAGTTAGAAAAAGTTCAAGCAGATTTGGTAAGCGAAGAAAGTTCAATAAGATCACAACATACTTGAAAAGTGAGCTGTAGACAGCAACAGCCCATTCCAAAACCCATAGCATCCATGTAGACATGGTCTGGTTGTGCTGCTGATGTGGCTTCAGGTTGGCCCACAGGAGCTTGAGGAAATTTCTCAACATATGGAGAAGGAGTTTTAGAATCCTTAAAAACTGGATGAAAGAAATACAAATTAAAAGCACTAAAATTTTACCATTATAGCCTTAAAATAGGTATTAAAAAGCACTTACTAGGCAAATTCATTGCTACTTTTTCTCCCCTTCGAAGGCGAATATTACGCGAGAGAGTTTTGAATCGAGGATGCCCTGGGTATATGCATTCATCAGGAAAGAAGAGAGACCGGGTTGTGCCTTCTGCTGGTGTCACAGTACTTGGAGGATCTGTGAAGTTTGGACAGCCCAACCTATAATCATAATAGATTAGATAATACTAAAACAGGCAAATTGAAAATTGTTATATGATACCACACAAGAAAAAGTCAGAGTTAAGAATTAAATAAAAATTTACAGATTACCTTGGAAAGCTTGTTAAAGACATCAGAGCTTCCCCAGGTTGAAGAAGCTGTTGTACTTCTTCTCTTCGTAGTTTCATATTTGCTTCAACAACATTGTAATGGGCGAGAAGACCCCCATACGGTTTCCCTGGAGTGCCTTCAATCATATATGCACCATATTCTGGACGCCACAGAGACTTAACATTCCTGGAAAGTTTAAAGTATTAGATTAAATAAGCCAAGACAGGTTGATGAAACGATATAGGGAAATGACTGCTTCCGTACTCTGGATCATTTTGTTCTTTTTCATTCAAAACCGGAAGAATGTCAGTTGCACGAAGGCTCGCTCTTGCAATTTTATTGTCATGGTCAAATTTTACAATGATGTATTCAACCTAGAAGACACAACCAAACAAATTTTATTCACACTATGGTAGTCAAATGGTTGCCGTGTATTCCTGACAACTCCAAGAAGTATCAGCTTGACAGCTCCAGTTGCAAATCCAATGAGCTTGATCTTTTGGAATTTAAACTCAGCAAAGCATCAACTCTCTTATCAAAATACATTAAAATGAAAAGATGCCATTCTGAGCTTGGAATCTACATTAAAAAGTTACACAAGATTTGGTAGGTTAACTTACCTCGTCCCCCCATTTCAACACATCACCCGTACGACTTTTCAAACGATGGTACAAGTTGATAAACTGTTTAATACCATGTCGACGGACATGGTCAGCGAGATCCTTGGTCTCTTCCCAGCTCAAAGGACTGCCTTCTGACAGCAAGCCCATGACAACACACTCAAGACAAGAACAGCAATTGGTCCCCCTAAGGACAGTCGTGCGTACTTATATCGTACTTGTCACTCCCTCCTACTGTTTTCTGGGTTCTGCTTTCCTACCCGCAGTGTCCCTATAAACAGGACACAGAAGAAGCTTTGAAGATTGAGCAGGTTTTCAAGGATTGGATTGCACAAGCTCAGCGCGAGCCATCCCATGCAGGGCAAGGATGAGGAATGTCTGCCCAGTCAGGTTATGAGGCAGAGGCTATAGACGGCTAGCACGACGAGTCATGCGCCCCCCCACCACACCGCACGTTGGTTTGTACATGTCATTCCGCGTAACTTCGCCCGTGCTATCTCTCTCGCACCCACTTCACTCTCCTCTCTTATTTCCGCTACCACTTGGGGAATGGAAGTATTTGGTAGGGTTTCTCTCGTATCTGTAACTTGTATCTGCTCGGTGCCCCAAAAGTGTTGTCTATTCCCAATTCTTATCTCTACGACACCAGTATAGGTACAGCTTATTGGTTCGGTCAAGTCCAAATCACGCATGCATGGGCTATGGCTTGAAAGGAGACGTACTTACGTAGGTGCTTAACACAATATTGGAGGCAAGGAGACACGTCCTTCCGGCGGTACAAAATAGCCCACCTGCTCTTACTATTCTGGTTGTTATCTTAATCTGCAACGACCGGGTCTGATTTAGAAACTATATTCATTATTGCTCTTGTTTGGCTCTAGTATGCGCTGTATACCACATTCTGCTGTAATTTTATTCCATCCCTTGTAGAATGTTGTTTTACCAGCTATGCTGAAACTTGTACATTCATTGCACTTCACACGCGACTATTCAAAATATGTTCCCGGATCCCGCCATAATGAAACATCTAAATTGCCATCGATATCTCGGTGGCCATTCGATGTGGGTGAGGGGGAAGGGGGGAGGGGAATGGGTGGTCTTGGAGGTGGAGGAGGAGGGGTGTTTTGTTGGATTGTTTTCTAGTGTGTGTGATAAAGTATCTTGGAAATTTTATGTTAGCTGTCTGTATTCAGTAAAATCTTTTGAATCCAACTTCAAGCTGAAAGCAGGTGATCACCTGCTAGTGCCGTCTGTGATCGATCGTGTCAGTGTTCGGACGTTGCTTTTATTTTAACGCGTTCTCCAGCCACAGCCAAGAGGAAGAGGACTGAGGGAGGGGCTAGTAGAAATAACACTTTGTCTTAAAGTGCTGGCCTTCGGCGAACCCACCCAACTACCCTTCTACAAGCCAGGTAAATACATTGCACCTTAATATGTCGAATTCACTATCCCCGACTTAGCTCTGCTCCGATTCTTTTCGTGTCGGTTTGTCTATGTAAACAAGTTTTGGGGTTAGAAAAACTGTATAAGTTGCTCCATTTATGTCATTAACTGTCAGTGACAGATTATCATGTCTTATGATGGTAACTCTCCACTCTCTCTTAAATTTATTAATGGGTATTTCATATCAAGTTTTGGTGAAGAACGGAAGTCTCTTAAATATAACACTGAAGGTACTTGTCAGTTGCGTCTTCTATTTAAGGCTCTGTCATTATATTGCAGGAATTGTTTGAAGCTCATTAATCTTCACTGATGCTAATTTAGTTTGATATCTGCCATACTAAAGGTTACCTCAAGTCTGCTCAGTGGTCGTTTCAATCCAAACACTTAATTTTTGATGATCAATCTCATTTCTTCCCACGGAGTGTTTGTGCAAAATTGAGTGATGTGAAACGTGTTCATTTCACTTTCTCATTTGTGTGAAAAATTCATGTACCACTAATAGTTACACTGCATTATGCTCATGTTTCCCCCATCATCCAGGTGTATGCATTTTACCGAAACCAAATATTTAGGTAATCAAAGAGTTTAAATACAATGCGTGAAATAAGTTTATCGGTTGGGCAGTTGTTTTGGTTGGACTCTCGTTTCTTGAATGAAAAAACCGGGAGGAGGGGGAGGTGGCTGTCTGCCGGG